ACCTATTGCAATAAAACGGCAATTTCATACTTTAACCCCTAATATTAGATATAACTGGTTGAAGACTGTACCACCTCAGTCAACCGTGACCATGGGACCTGTAAAGGGCCCGCAACGTCGGTTTGTTTGAAAAAACAAATATACGCGATTTAAATCCGGAAAAATAGTTTCATTTCCTATGTCATTTAATTTGTTTGAAAACTATTCTGCCATATCATTGCGGTAACAACTGCGCTCCGATTGGTCGGCACCAATTCGAAACAATTGACGGGTGTCGTCAATTGTTTCACTTTAAATCGACCAGTTTAACTTGAGATTCGCTATAATGATCGAAAATTGAAAAATTACATAATTTAATATTTAATTACCGATGTAATGTGATTATGTTTGTTTTGTAATTAGATGTTTGCTGTTTTTCAAACACCACCAAATGGAACAGCCCCCCATGGTTAGAGATATCATCTTTATTACAACAAATACAGAATATTTTTGGAATATACGGAGACGTACACACATGTCAGTTGTTGGCGCTGTACTATTTCAGCTTTCTTATTTGTGATTTCAGCACAAACGAGAATTGATATTATTATTTAAAAGCGATATCAGTGCCATTTGACTGATGAGTTGCCAGCGATGCATGGTTCTTATTTTTTTTTTGGTTATATACTCGATGCCTTAGATCAATGTGATTGTTACACTATATCACAAGAAAATTCAGAACATTGACTATTATTTTTATAATACCAAGTGATGGAACGAACAAGTCGTGTGTCTGGTGGTAAGCGACACGCCTATCCGTATACACAGTTGCAGTGTCACTTAGAACTTTTAATAGCAAAGATCTTAAGGGCACTGTCACTATCCCCGTCACCCTGATACATAAGTTGACAAGCCCCATGTGCCTGTAAGTTCACCAGCACTCTTACATTTCCAAACCGGAACGCAGTAATACTCACATTACTGCTAAGCGGTAAAAATAGGTAAGATGGCAGTACTTCCCTGGACGAACTCTTACAAAACTACCTGCTTGTCTTTCATAAATCATCCGACTTTGTTCAGCCGTTACAACGCAATTGAATAGCCAACGGACATCCATTAATAAACCTGGCATTATTTATTATTTAGGTACCAACAAAACACGCATAGTGCCAATCGATATTACGACCTATTGTAATTATAATACGTACTAGAACAGTCCTGAGGCTGTATAGCGCCAAAGTTTTGCTGTTGCTTCAAAAAACTTCGCGGCACACCTGAAATTCGAATACAAAATACAAAACAAAAAAAAAGCAAATAATACGGAATAGAGAGGGAGAGAGACATGCATATTATATTCAAGACATACAGATAATGATATTAAAATTGAAAACAAAGTAGAAATCCTTAGGAAATTTTGCAGGGTAAAAATACAATACAAATATATTTGATTATCACTAGTAACAGGTTTCTTACCACGGTATAACTTCTTTTTATTTTCCCGATATTAACGAACGAAACCTGTTACTAGTGATAATCATTTAGTGAATAACCACGAAAGTCTTAAAATCTATACAAATATATTTGACGGCATCCGTGGTCGAGTGGCTTACGCACCGGTTTTCATGGCGTTGCCATCTTTGAGGTCCCGGGTTGGATGGGGGTCTAATAATAATCTGGTCGAGGACCGGATCAATGTAGAAAACGAATTTTTCTGTATTATCTCGGGGCTGGGTGTTTGTTCTTTCCGATTTTCATAACACAAGCTTTGGCTACTTATTTAAGGACTTCTCTACAGTATGGGAAACGTGGGGAGAATGGAAGAGATCGTGCTTCGAAAAGGGCGTACTTAAGACGATCGAAAAGAAGCCGATCAATTGGACCTCCGAGACGTCACCTCTTAATATATTCCAAAATCGATAGAGTCGAGCATAGCGGGGTCGATCGAGTCGCCGGTTCTTTCAGCGAGAGTAGAGGCTCTGGCGGAAGCACAAAAGTGCCTTGTCCAGTTTCGCGGTCGAGATTACGGCGCAAGCGAACCACCTACACGGCACAGCTAAGATAGCCGTAGAGAGCGCTTGGAGCCCCAACGGGAGATCAAGAACGTCGTGGTCCCGAATCTGTTAGACCTTTACATACTACTGCGTCTTGAAAACTCACGATCATGTCATGAGCGCGCCGTGGAACAGCTGAAGGCGAACCGAGTCAAGGAGGAGGAGGAAAGACCTAAGGGCCTTTATTGACTGGCAGGAGCAAGCTTAGAATGTGGAGCGTCTCGGTATCCAGCATCGGAGGCTAAAACCGAATTTAGGCCACAAGCTACCGAAGTAGTACTTCAAACTCGCAATCGTTAAAATCTCCCTCGGACGACTTATTGCTAACTGTACTACTGCTTAAAACATCTTGGGAAGTAAGGGGTTGGTGGTTGAAGCGCAATAATAATAATAACGCACACACTCACAGCCCCGCACTAGGGAATCCCTGCGTCGCGGATGCCTTGGACACACATACAGACAACTACAAAGTACACTCAAACTCACGAGAGAAATAAATGTAGGCTATACGAATATTTCTCCCGACTCGGGAATCGAACCCGACCTCTGCGTGGCAGACCAGCATGCTAACCGTTCGGCCACGGAGGTAGTTAAATGCAATCCATCAAAAAATCTTTAACATAGGAATTACTGAATTTGATGTTATCATTCGTACTTTGACAACTATACTATGTGCTCAAGTCTACTACACTATCATTTAGAATGGTTCTCTGTGATCAAACCTATACAATTGGTTAGTTTAAATTTCGTTCGATATTTCACGTGATATTAAAGAGATATGATTGGTCTATTTTTTAATGTCATACGGCATTTTTAACGTTAATAAACTAAGGCATGCACAGTAGTCTACAAAAATATTATACTTACTAACCTTTAGGATAATTTCCCATGGCTGCAACAAAAATGAATTTTATTGAAAATTCCCAGTACTAATCAAATTCACTATACGTGGGGCGCACTATAAGTTTCCGAAATGAATAAGAAAAAAATACTATAAATGATCAGAAATGAATTTATTGTTTCTCAAAATATTCTCCGTTAGCGTTAATGTACTTTTTCATACGAATGAACCAATTTTGAAAACATTTATGCCACTCCTCCGTGACAATCTCTGAAACATATTTTTCATACTCTTCGACAGCCTCTTCAGGTGATGAAAATCGTTGTGCGCGTAACTGGTTCTTAATTTTTGGAAATAAATAGAAGTCACAAGGTGCCAGGTCGGGACTGTTCGCGGGACGGCTCATAAGGTCAATGTTGTTCACCTTCAAAAATTCATTTGTCTGTCTGGCCATGTGAGAACTGGCATTATCGTGGTGCAAGATGCTACGGCGTTTACGGTTATTTTTTACGGAGTTTGTCAATACTTCCGGCAAACAAATGGTCGTGTACCAATCACTATTCACGGTACAACGATTCTCCAAAGCAACAGTAGCCACGTGTCCAGTTTTATTAAAAAAAGAAGCAATCATCTGCTTAGAGGCACTTTGCACGCGCGCCACTTTGGTTGGCTTCGGCTCATCTCGAAAGACCCATACGTTCGATTGCTGCTTTGTTTAGGAATCGTAACTATAAATCCATGTTTCGTCACCTATTATTATGTCCCACACCAAATTTGACGCACCTTCGTTGAATCTAGTAAGCATGGCATTGCACCAAGTGACGCGATCCGTTTTTTGAGCCTCGGTCAAATGGCGTGGCATCCACCGAGAGCGCAGCTTTTTCACACACAACCGTTTGTGTAGTATTGGTTGTATTTGACTCAGGGCTATGCTAAAAGATGCCCGAATCTCATGGTATGTCACATGCCTGTCTGTTTTAATCATACGGCGCACAGCATCGATATTTTTGTTGTTCACAGCAGTGGACGGGCGACCATCACGAAATCCGTCACTGAGATTCACATGACCGCGTTTGAATTCTACAAACCAGCTATAAATAGTCGTCTTGCATAGTGCTTCGTCGCCAAAAGCAGTTTGAAGTCGAGTGATGCTCCGCTAAGCTGTTACATTACACTTAAAGTCGTACAAAATCATACTACTAAATTTTCACGAGTTAAAACCATGGTGGTGATGGGTTAACAACCAATTTCTAAAATGACGCCACCTTGTAAAAACAAGTGACAGTCAGATGAAACAAACTGTATTCTACAGCCAAAGAGTTCCATTTTCAAATGTTGTAATTACTTTTTAAATATTGTTTATGTAAGTGGCCAGTTCCGGAAACTTATAGTGCGCCCTATGCATTACCATGGATCAATACTCAAGAGAAGTACTATAACCATACTACAGATCGTAGATCTGAAGGTCAAAATTCTATAAACAGCCTGGAAGTAGTTCATATTATGCAAATGGTCGTGAATATCAATTAATTCGTCTTTAATATGAAATATATGGCAGTTTTTTTCCTCGTAATATTATTCAAATATTGATATTAAACTAAAAATTTTTTCTGAACTTTGACAAATATGCATGTCAATAGATGGCATTGAGTGTTACAAACTAATTTATAAATTAATGCTTCCTAATATGGGTAGATGGAGCTAATCCTCCATAAATATATGTACAATAAACGGCATCTAGTTGATTTGTTTGTTATTACTAGAGATTAGAGTAGCTTTGATAAATTGCAGCTTATCAATGAAAAACAAATTATTTACAAAAATAATTGGGTACTCGTTGCAACATCTAGGGGCCTACCATAACCTTTCCAAAAACAATCTTATTTCAATGTAAGCTTAAAGTAAGCTTATAATATAATAATAATAAATAATATTACTCATATTCGTACCACGACGAACCTGTCAACCAAGTAATGTATTATTGCAAAAGTGATTGAAAGAACGAATCATTTTGCAATATTGTCTATTCGTTACTAAAAATAGGAGAGATAACGCTATGTGAACTATATAATGCCATCTCTTTCTTTTTGGTGTACCGAATCGTCCTATCGTAGTATAATGTTTAAGTACTTAATATTATTTACATTCAGAGAATTTTGACTGTTAAAAAAAGAACAGTATGTAATAACTGCTCTAACTGCCTCCGTGGCCCAACGGTTACCATACCGGACTGCCACGCAGAGGTTCCCGGGTTCGACTCCCGGGCCGGGAGAAATATTTGTATGGCCTACATTTATTTCTCTCGTGAGTTTGGGTGTAATTTGTGGTTGTCTATGTGTGTGTCCATGGCACCCGCGACACAGGGTTTCCCTAGTGCGGGGCTATGTTGAGTGTGTGCGTTATTATTATTATAATAAAATCTATTAAAATTACGTTGTTTTCAATAATTCTTCCGCATTCTCATGAAGAAAAATAAATAAAACAAGCTGTCTTGATAGTCACGTTGTGAATTCGGAACTATAGTCCAGTGTCAACTGTTAGTTTCGCCAAGGAGCATATAGATGGCGCTGTTATAATTTTACGAAATAAACATCGCATATTTTTATTTAACGAAAAATTATTCACTATGTGCTAATAAATAAAAAATAAACAAAATATTGAAGAGATATATGTAAATAAATAAGTTTAACTTAACTTTTAATCATTACAAATCAATATTAAGACAATAAAACTGAAAATAATATTGTTTCCATTACATCCGTGTAGCTATTATAAGATTGCTAAATTTGACACAAGAGCAATATTACTTTAATGTTAAAGTCGCGTCATAGGACGAACTGAGTGAATGAATAGTCACAAAGCTGCCAATAAAACATCATAGTTTTAACATTACAATAAGCTTATTTTAAGCGCATTATGGTACGAAAAGTCAATGTAAGGTTAAAGTAATATTGTTTTAAGAGGTTGCGGTAGGCCCCTTGGTGTGCCAAATGGTATAAAATACCCGACTACGCTACTTTGTATCACGATTAGCAGTCCCTTGAGTTATTGGTCCATTAGGGCTAGCACGACAGGGCGCGCCTAGCGCGAGAGCGACATAAAGCGCGAAATACTGCTATTCTAGTGTTAATACGAGTATATAGCGCTTTATGTCGCTCTCGCGTCGCGGTCTTGTCGTGCTAGACCTACATGATATTACTAAATACATTTTTGTATAAACAAAACAAACCTTGCATGTAATCCATAATGGTTTTAGGAGTTGGGTAATTCCTGTTGTCTGGAAAATAATTAGAAAGTGTTTACATTTGATACGAGGGGCAGATTATGTTAAGCCACATATGTTAGCATTAATATATCAGCAGTACCTTTATATTTTATAAATACAGGCGTCTTAGCGTAAATTCTACTTCCAACTGACCAATGAAGCCACGACAATAATAAGAAAACATTTACATAATGTTAACAGTGCGTTCGTTAGTAGCTTTAGCAAAAATTTTGTAGCTAAATTTAACTAATGCCGAATTAATTTTAGTATAATGCGAGGAATGCCAATTCTAAATTCATTAACAAAATTAAGTATTATTAACTTTGTAATTGTACTTACCCTGTGGATTATTCATAGATGCTGTCGACGATGGAGTTGAAGATCTCGTTTTATTTTTTTCTTCCGAATCTTCTCTCATGATTGAAGGTTGGAGTTCAGGCTTTTTGTGTACGACGAACTTAATTTCCGACGCTATCCCTTCTATTATTTTTGGGTTAAGGGCAGTTTTATCTGTAAAATCATTGTAAAATAGATAAATTAAGTGGGATTATGGATGCCTATTGTAATAGATTTGTATTAAGATCTAAAGAGTTGTTTAAAACTCGTCGCCTATAATTCATCTGTGCGTAAGGTACTTATGGGCAAATTTGGAATACAAATGCATGGAGGTAATAATGCATTTGAGCTTATTATGTGTTGAATGGGATGTGTACTGTTTGAATAGGTTAGGTATTAGTTTATGTACCCTGGGCACTGGGAGACTGCTGTGGTGAAATATTTATACTCTGGTCTGCGTTATTCTTCTGTTCACATATGGGTTCCTCTTTCTCATCCAAGGAGTTTAATTCCCAACGGATTTCTTTTTCGGTCTTAGGTTTAGGTTGCATCTGAGCTTGTATTATAGGTTCAGTTCTAGCTTGGGGCCTAGGTTTTGGTTTTGGTTTCGGTCTCGGATTAGGTTTTTTATTTTTATTTTGTTGCGGTACCGTCTTCATAAGACATGTATCTATAACTCGTTTCATTCGGAGGTTTTCTTGGAAACGTTTCCACCTTTCTTCTAGGGCAGACGCGCTGAAAAAAATTTTGTATTGTAGTGAATTTAATTTGAAGTTTATCATGAGCTTTTCGGTAAAGGAAAAAAACGTGATGATATCTGCATGACGAAGAAGGTTCACAACCCTCGAAAAACGGTACGAAGTCCCCCAACCCGCATTGGGCCAGCGTGACGGACAATGGCCTATCCTTAAACCCTCGCCTAACCCGTGCCCAGCAAAGGGACGTATAAGTAGAAGATAAGATAAATACAACAATACGGGATGTATAATGTATTTTGAATTGCCGGTATATGCCGATGTTTTATAGATCTACATTTCAGCCAATGTTGACTTGGTGTGAATGGCACGTAAAATTTTTTTCGTTGTTTTTGACTATAAAATTTAATTATAAAATGAAAAGTTTTATGTTGTGCTCGTTGTTGGGAAATTATAATTATTAATCACACACACCAATTCATTATTCCTGAGGTGACAACAACAGAAGTTTTCATTTTACAAGTAAATTTTAGAACAAACTATCAAAAAGAACGGAAATATCTTTAGGTACCCATTTCGCTAAAATATTGTCGCGAGTAATAAAATAGACGATTCGGTCCACATAAATTTATTGTATAATGTGGCAGAAGGAAAGGTAAACAAGGCGAAAAGGAAGGCTGTAACAACAAAAATAACAGTACAAAACACAGGTACAATGTCAAATCCAAACACTCCCTACTTAAATTGCTTACAAAACATACGTCAAACGGTAAAAAGAACTTACCCCAAAAGCGTCGTATTTTCTACAAATATTAGTTAGGTTACTTGATTTTAATAATATTAAATAGGTTACACGATTTTAATTGAAAACTGGTCAGAATTCAGGTGAAGACGAGCAGGAGTGCTCGCTTCACACATTTAGTAGTAAGTGACGACGGAACGAAGCAAAGTAATAATGACGAGGTAAAAAAGTTAGAGACCAATTCAAAATTTCACAAATGGCCAGGAACCACAGAAAATGGTGATAAAAAGTGGAATGACGATAACAGAGGTCCCATCATCACACTATGATCATGTTGATTGTCACGTTATTGTTTATCAGCATTCAATTATAACAATGTCAATAGTGACTTTAAATGTAATACCCTTTCTTCTGTTTTTAGTGGGGAAGCCACTGCTATCCTAGAAGCTCTTCTCTATATTGAGTATCATTAGGTAGATAAAACTGTCATATTAACAGACTCAAAAAGTTGTCTCCAAGCAATTCTGTCGAATCCTTTCCATAACAGATCCAACTTTCCCCGTGTCTTAAAAATTAGAAATGTGCTATACAGTTGCTTCAATCAAGGAATTAGAGTCTCTTTGGCCTAGATCCTAGGTCATTCTGGTATAGTAGGTAACGAGACTGTTGATCTGATGGCAAAAGATGCCCCTGAAATTGGATGTCCTACTTACTCTCAAGTATTCTCTAATGACCTGCCCCTACTGGCAACTCAAAAGATGATGTCCATATGGGATGTCGAATGGAAAGAGAGAAGCAAAGTGAAAGGAAAGCATTATGTAAACATTCAAAATGTCATCCAAATCTTGCACCTCCACCATATGTAGACTAAGGGTCGTATTCTAGAACTCTACTCAATGCTCAAGTCAGGATTGCACTGGAAACACAAACACAGGAAATACGACCCTAATGACAGGTACTTGAGTATGATTTCGAGTGCTTTAAACCATACTCAAATCCTGACTTGAGCATTGAGACTCGGCGACTCGAGCACCCCAGTTCACTTAGCTAAAATTTGGGTAAGGACAGGGGACAGCTCGCTTTGCGAATGCGGGTTGGATGAAGGAACTCCGGATCACATTTTCTTCAATTGTAACAAGTACCCCGTCTCCTTGTACGATATCCTCCCCTGATTCATTCCCAAACCCACAAATTTTAATACGATTTTAAGTCTTGTGGATACGTCGTGCATCAATGTCCTTTGTGATTATATAACCAGCAATAATATAAAATTATAATTTGTTCGTCCTGTCTAACATACCTACTAACATTTGTCTATGTATATTGACCTCTGTCCCTTTCAGGTAATTCAACAGCTCTGCAGCTTTGAAATCTAATAAGAAACTATTTTTTATATCACACTGTAGTCTCACAATACTCACTGAATAGCAGAGTCTACAGAAGCCCTTAAAATTACTAAGCGGAAAACTCGATACTGGTGAAATTTAAAGGGTAGCGCCATTAAGCAAAAAGAAGAAGATGATGAATGTGGGGGTGGTGGAGTATAAATATGACCAAGCGTTCTAAGCGAGTTCATGGCACGCAAAACGTCCTTCAAGAAAAAAAAGAAAAAAGAGCAAGCTCATTCCTCGGTCGAGTATCAAACAATTCACCCCCTGAGGATCCCTAGAGAGTCGAAACACATGTCAGGTACATTTTTGGTGTTTGTATTTGGGTCGGTTTATTATATGCGGAACGAGGGTGGGAAAATTAACTGCATGAAAAAAGATATTCAACTCAAGTGCAGCTGTTTTACGCGATGGAACCTTCACTGGGGTCATGCAGTGGCCAATTAATTTACTCCCATTTTTATTTACTAAGAACCTTTAAGGACCAAGCTGTCAAGAGATGGCATTTGTTGACATTGTGGTCTTATAGTAATGAAAACAAAAGTTAAGTGAAAAGGTGAGAGGATAATTTGTGGAGAATGAGTGTTATAGATTGTTAGAGACAATAATGAATGCTGCTCAAAGCCCATGTCCATGGATAGCCTATCCTATCCATTACATAATCAAATTCCAAGTTTGTGTTAGTAAATTAAGATATAATAAATTATTATTAAATATTACATATTTTAAAATTACTTTTAATAACGTCAGCAACTAAAACATAATTTAATTTTTTTTTAATTACAGTCATATTACAGTACTACACCAGGGGGCAAACGCCAGTGTTTGCCTGTTTTTTGGATCTATCCAGGGCTTTTGATACAGTCTCATATAGTATCCTTTGGGACAAATTGGAAAAACGCACAAATACCCCAAGTGCGGTAATCGACCTGCACCGCTTCTGGTACGCTAATCAAACCAACTAGGTGAGGTGGGCAGGTGCTCTCTCGGATGTGTTAGGTTGGAGTGTGGAGTGAGACAAGGAGGTCTCAGCTCACCTAGGTTGTTTAACTGGTATATAGATGAGCTGATCGCCAGGCTCAGCAGCACGGGAATTGGATGCTCGATCGGTGGTATCACTGTCAATAATATTAGTTATGCAGATGATATGGTGCTGCTGTGCCCGTCGATCAGTGCGCTAGTAAAACGATTAAGTATTTGTGAGGAGTATGCAATGACTCACGGTCTAACATATAACACAAATAAAAGCGAGCTTTTAGTATTTAAAGCCGGTAACAAAGCCCTCGCTTCAATCCCTCTTATTTATTTATGTGGTGCGCCTCTCAAGAGAGTAGCAAGGTTTAAATACCTAGGGCACTGGGTCACAGAAAATCTGCAGGATAATGTAGATATGGAGAGGGAGCGCAGAACGTTGGCCGTACGTTGTAATATGTTCACGCAGGTTTGCGCGTTGTGAGGGTAATGTCAAAGCCACCCTTTTCAGGGCGATTTGTCAGACCTTCTATACGTGCAGCCTGTGGACAAATTACACTAAAGCGACGGTCAATGCCCTGCGTGTCCAATACAATAATGGTTTTAGGATGCTATTGGGGCTGCCACGATTTTGCAGCGCATCAGGTATGTTCGCGGACGCGCGTATTGATAGCTTCAGCTCGATTATTCGGAAGAGAACTGCCTCCCTGATGCGTCGCGTGCGTGGCAGTTCCAATAGCCTAGTTCGTTTGATCTGGGAGAACCCTGTCAATGAATTGTGGAAGCACTGGAACTCAGTCCACATGGGTTCCAGGGGTTTAATTTATAAGTTACTGTAATATTTCGCAAATTTAGTGCTAACATAGGTTGTAAGAATTTTTTTGTAACTAACACTAATATGGACTATGTCTGAAATAAACTTTTTGAATTTGAATTTGAAAATTATATTGTTTTATCATAAAGAAAGTAATTTGTGTTAGCTATATTTTGTTTCAATTATACTTACGTCAACTGATCTGCCTCACTAGGTCTCACGGCTTCCTGAATAACTGGCTTCCAGTTTCCAACTGGAGTCTGCAGAAGTGGGGTCCTTGTCAATGGAGTTTTCAGCAGAGGTGTTTTAAGTAAAGGAGTCTTCGGCAGTGGAGTCTTTAGGAGTGGAGTACTTGGAGCGGTGTCATCAAAAAGATCAATCATTGTTTCTGGTTGTTGATGAGGGGCTTGGAAAACTACAGGAGGGCCTCTAGGTGCATTAATGTTAGGGATAGGGGGGTACACGGGCATGGACATAAGAGGGCGAGGACGGGTAATAGGTGCTTGTGGTCGGATCCAAACACGGTTGGGTTGTGGTTTTTTCTTTTGTTTCTTCTTTTTCGGATTTTTTCCGATTCTGAAAATTATAAACATTACTATTAATTTATATTTAGTGATAAGCAGTGATCGAAATAGGTAGAGTTTTTTCGACGAACAGAGTCAGAAAGTGGAGACTACCTTACGACAATATTTTTTAGGTCCTGGGTCTTTTCGGGACTGAGGAAATCTCTTAAATACGTTAAAAATTGACGTTATTTGGTATAGGTCGGTAGACTATATTTATCTTAACTTTGCTATGAGTTGTTATATCACCAATTTTTCGGAATATTTAGGAAAATTCCTTAAAAAAAATTCTTTTTTTTTTTCAATCATTTTTTTCTAGTGTACATTTTACAAAACACTTATCTCCCGCCAAACTCAAAACAGTTACTTAATACATTTAATTAGAGTTGTTAAGATACACAGACTGTTTTTAAATGGGACATTATGGGAAAATCCAAAACCATATCCAATTTTTTTAAATTAAATTATATTAACTTCTGCTATCCCGATTTTTTCGTCCTATACCGATTCCTTAATGAAACTGAGTCGATCAGCGCTAAAAAAATTATGATCAATCTTATTAACCTCCTAAGGCCCCGTGTACATCAAAATGTACATAATATGAGAATGAGTGATTCAGATCCAAAACAGTATTATTCCTATGATCACGAAAATACTGCAATTCAATTCAAATTCAATTTTGAAACTATATGTAGATATTGCCTCCGTGGCCGAACGGTTACCATGCCGGACTGCCACGCAGAGGTCCCAGGTTCGATTCCCGGGCCGGGAGAAATACTTGTATGGCCTACATTTATTTCTCTCGTGAGTTTGGGTGTAATTTGTGGTTGTCTATGTGTGTGTCCATGGCACCCGCGACACAGGGTTTCCCTAGTGCGGGGCTATGTTGATTGTGAGCGTTATTATTAAAAAAAAAAAAAAAATATTATATGCCGATTAGGTATCGAAAAAATACGTTTTACATAAAAAAATGAGGGAAAACTTGCTAGTGTCTGAAGTATGTAGTTATATTTAGTACATTTAACGTACAATAGGTGTTTTACTGGGTCTTAGGAGGTTAATTTTTATGGACAACTCACACTTGACCAAAAATTTGACTACGCTAAAATTGTTTTCACAAAGAAAGACTTAATAGTTCTTAAGACAGTTTCCTTGTATATTCTATGGTTTCGGAGTTCTCAACACTCTCTCATTAAAAAAAACTGTATATTTCGAACATTCTGTTGATAGATCGGATCGACTCATCATGCTTTACTACGTCGATTTCATGTGTCGGAAAATTGGTGTTGCAACAAATCGTCGCAAAGTTAAGATAAATATAGTCTACCTGCCTATCACAAATAACATCAATTTTTAATGTACTTAATTGATTTCTCAAATTCCGAAAAGATCCAAGACCTAAAAAATATTGTCGTAAGGCAGTCTCCATTTTCTGTCTATGTTCCTCGAAGTTTAGGTAAAAAAATACTACCTATTCCGATCATTGGTGATAAGGCAGTAACATTGTTTTTTAAATTGCATGTAGGGTGTCAATGTTTATTTCCATTGGATCCAGGTAATTTACAGGCACATGGGACATGTTAACTTATCCCTTGGGGTGACAGGTGCAGTGGCAGTGTTCTTCAAATCTTTACAATTTAAAGCTCTGAGTGGCACTGCATCTGCTATGGCATTTACACTACGCACACAACTTGTCCATCCCGCCACTTGGTCACATAAAAAATCTTGTCATTGAATTTACAATTAACTGATGGAGATATTTTATTAAAAACAGATTACACATAAATTAGTTGGCTCAAGTTAAGTTTGATGACTAAATTTTGTTTACCTAAAAATAAGTAAAAGTAAATATTTAAGTTTCATAGTTATAACCCAGGTGCATTGACTTACAATTATATGGACGTCGGGTCCGCCCTAAAAAGTGTCCGCACTTGTAAGGCGCTAAAATCGTATACAGAGCGTCAAACTCTGCTTTAATCTTCATTTGTTCGACTGACAGCGCGATACTGCGATGACATTACAATTTAAATTTCGAATAGGTTGACTTGGGACATTTTTTTCGTGGTTTTTGTATTAGACCCGTCGTCCATTTATTTGTAAGTCAATGCCCAGGTGTGACTTATTGATACTGGTTGTTTTTATTGGGAATATGTTTTATTATGAAATTAATAGCCACAAGTAGCTAATGCTTGTTACATATTACAAATGAATGAAATAGATATTTTGAAATTTTTACCGGCATCATGTAAAATTGTAGCAGCATAGGTTTTTAAGATTACTTTCACCCTATTATTTTTCCCTTTTCAAAATGATACCAAATAAGAAACGAACACATCTTTTTATTTTATTTACATACATAAATCTTTTACTATGTATCATTTTACTATGTATAAAATAAAACAAATGAGGTTAGGTTAAGTATAACTTTTGTATAACGATTTATGTACCAAAATCAAGATAAAATAATACTTACAAGGTATGTAAATTGTCAGACATGACGAATTGAATTATAAAAAGAAAACAATAACGTTATTTCACAAATAACTCGAGCTTTATGGCTTTATGAGATTGACGACACTTCGTTTTTTCTGATTCTCTTTTCCTACTGGTATGTATTTCTAGCTTTTGTACCAGTGTCAATTAGTGAAATATACACGTAACTATTAAAATATTATCTTAATTTTCGTATATTTTACTCCTTTTTGTCGACAGAAACCGAATATTTTTGTTTACAATTTTACTAATGAAACGTCAAACACGAATGACAGACAGGGATACGTCAAATAAGCGTTTTGTTTATTCTGATCGAACATGGTTGAAATATTGAATTCAATATTTTATGTCAGTATAGATAAATATATACGGTATACGGTATAAATTATTTTACAAAACAAAACTGCCTTAGTGGCCGCCATTAAGAAAAAAAAAATTGTAATTGGAGGTTTTCTTTCTTTCTTCTTTCTAGAATAGCTGCTCATTTTCCGTTAAAACATATAAATAATTACAACTTTTTCATTTAAAAAACACCGACCGCAAAAGTTTGCCTAATAACTTTTTTATTGGAATTACATCTATTTGTTTTATTGAAATCGGTTAACGAAAAGTGCGCAAAATCTGATTCATCCCTCAGTTTGCCAACCTTAAAAGTGGAATATATTTATTAAATTTAAATGAAACTAATACGGAATCATCAAAATCGGTTCACAGAGTAATCGCGTATCTACACACACACAAAATACAGTCGAATTGAAAACCTCCTCTTTTTTAATTGGTTAAAAAAAAGTCGTTCAAACCCTTAACAAATAATGAAACAGCATTTTACACAATATTACATTTTATATTTATTATATTTTTTAAACGCATTGAAAATCACATTATTCTGTGCAACTTATATTTTTACATTGTATAGATTTGTTAATCAATACTAAATGCGCTGGCAATGGCGAAAACGACTTATTAAAAAAATCTGAAATTGGAAATGCCATTATAACGCGGAATTAATTTTTTAATCAGTAAATTAGCTAAATACAAAAATTGGTCTGGTACATAAATAAGGAATTACAAATACGTAGGTATATAAATGCCTTGGACTCGTTAAATACAATAGCTTTACAATCATCGCACTAGAACGTTTTTATTAAACATTTGACCCTAGGCCTACGCAGTACTGACAGATACAGGCAGTGCAAACAATCAGTCTGATTCTGATTTTGAGATGTTGCTGGATATATACCATATCTAAACTATCCATTTTTAAGAAATAGATCTTTTACAATTATAGCGCGTTTGCCATGGTCGCGGATGTTAGTGTGGACGATATCTATGTTATTATGCACGGTGAGGGGGAGTTAATTGTGTTGCCGTTCTACGTGTACGTCAGTGAGCCTATTTGCTACAATTTTGCCATATCATAAAGTTGTTTATTTGCATCAAAACTTTTTTTTTTCACTCGCAAAATTCTCATGGATATCTTAGGCCCGTGAGTAACCAAGGGTTACGTCGGACTCCTATTGTCTAAAACCTGACGGTGTTTCCATTCCTCATGCCGGAGTCATGGGGGCAGTTTTGAAAGGAGGACGTGGAACATGTACTCCCTCTCGCTTTCCGAAGCTTCCTTCTGCGAAATCACTGACTTGCTGAAGGTCACCACCATTTCCCACAACCTGGCACTACTAATCATAGCGAGAACTAATGTCGAGAGGGAGAGATTCCTGCCTACTGTTGCCACCAGGGTTGAGTGTGGGCCCACTCAAGCTGGGCATATGATGTACTTAAACCTAGACTAATATAGTTATAAGGCGTGTCTTAGACATTTGTATGGAGTTTTTATGTGGATGAGGTCACGCATTAGAGAGGAAATTTAGCTCACAACATAACCCATCAAGATCTGTCATTATTGTTAGCCTCTCCATAAACACGCCGATGCCTACTTAAGACGTAATAAAGATTAATACACGGAGAGTCCAGGGGGAAAACAACGATCAAAGTCTTTTGAGGAGAATTTTAAGAAAAACGAATTTATAATTTGTAGACCTTTTAAACATTGGTGAAAAAGACACTCACAAATACCTTAATAAAGTCAATGCAATTCAAGTAAATGCTGACCGAAATGTATGTAACGCATTCCATAATCCATTTTAACTAAAACATTTCAAAATAATTTTTAACTTTTCTACCGCATTTGGGGGCAAGCATTTTTATGGCTAAAACTAAAAAAGCTGATTTTTAAGGACATTGAATCTTATTAAGCCTTTTTCTGATTTAGGCATGGTACGCCCGGCGTTTTTAGAGCTGCATGGCGATATTAACTGAAAACGTGTTTTAAGTGACTTTAGTCATTCTTTCCCTGATCTCTTTGGTCTCTTCACATTATATCGCACCCTCTTTATTAAAATGATGAAATTAATAAAATAACTTACAAGGGAAACTAACAAAACGGATATAAAAAATGTACGTGGCCCAGCTAAATATCGTACTTACCTTTCCTGGGCATAATAAAGCCACATGTCACCAATACGTCAATAATGCTAGTAACTTAGAATAATAACGCATAGAATGATAGTTTCATATCAAACGAACTGTCACAAGTGAGGCAAAAATCAAATTCATATAGGCTAGTTTTAGTAGTAGGTTAATTTTCGGTTTTAGTGAATATTTATATAAAAATACAAGTTGAAACGCGTTACTTCCTTGTGGAATGTGATGTTAGTATCTATTTTATGTTTGTCTGACGTATTTTTTCACTCATTCACCGCACATTTCGTCATTTTTAGCTAAAATTCTGGACCTGTTCGTGGTGCAAGTTGACCTTGAGCACTGAAGGCCCGCCCGCTCGTGTAGGCCCATTTGGCGCGCTTCAATTTGCCTCACTTAGCGTGTGCGGACTAGGTTTCTATGCGTTATTATTCTAAGGCTAGTAACACGTGAAAGTGATAAAAATAATACGAAGTACATGACAAAAATTACGATTATATAAGTGATATTTTATAACTTCCATATCTAAGAGTCTACGACCTCAAATGGCTTTGGTTGTGAACAGTGAAAGAGTTGAATCAATAACTTTGGAAAAAAAATATTAAAATTGAGGATATTAGGTATTATACGGCGGTACTAAAAATTTTCACGATAGAAAATAAAAACAATCCTACCTCAAAATTTTACAAGAAAACCGCTGTATTCAATAGGTACTTTACGTAATACCAATTATTTCTTTATATCAACTGAACTAAATAGAACTGAATAAATAGTTATACTTTTCATTGATATAGTTTTATTCTTTAGTGACAACCAGTGACGGTGTGGTAGGGAAGAGTGGAAAAAAGTGCACTTGTCCCCACCAGGGGAACAGCTGGTAGGGACTAGTGGAATAGACCACTTATACGATATACATTGTTCAAATGGTTTGTAGAAAAAAATAAATCGTGAAATAAAGCCATTGTCCCTCCCGCTCAATTCAAGCAAAATGACCCGTGTTAGTACGGGAAAAATTTGAATCCAAGCTGAGGTAGTATCGTTTATTAAAAAAACTTCGTAGATCTTTAAACCTCCTTCCTGAAAAGTTGTCATTTTGCAGATGTGATCATCGTATAGGTACCAAAGTTGCTATACGATATTTTGCTCATGCCAAATATTAGTTAATCGTAAGTAGCAGTTCGTTAAATCGATACCTCCAATGAACACTACGCCGTCTTTATTTTTTGGTCATCTTCTGTTATTTTTGTAAACAGCCATATTTATTTGCCTTAGTAAGTATGGCTGCTTAATATAAATATAATCTTAATTGTGCTCCCCGAATTTTGTGAAAAAAAGAAACAAGAACAAAAAAAAACTAATTTTGTAAAAAAAAAAGAAACAAAAAACAAAATAAAAACAGAGCAGGTCCAAAAATTAAGTTGGCTTAGTGTTCATTGAAGGTATCGAAATGTCCCCATAACAATTTTGTATTTGCAACCGAAAAGTAACAGTAAAGATATAAGGATAAGACCTATTTTACCGTAAATCCCACAAGCTAGCAAGTAAGTATCTAAGTAACCTGTATAATGAAATGATTGATTAAATAAGATATTAACTGACACGTACATTAAAGAGATATTCATTGCTTGTTCATATAATATAATAATTTGAATCGGAAGTTTTGCTGCATACAATCTTATGGCCCCATAGGTGTCGTTAATTTGGAAATTCTAGTTAGAACTTTGGTTTGTGTATACTATTGGGAGCAAATCGTGTCTGTAATGATAATAGTCGAGCAAAAATATACTATTTCTGGAACTAATATTCCAATATGGTCACGGGAGTATTCAGAAGTCAAGTACGAATATAAAAACCGACCTCAAACGTCATTAATCTCCTAGTTTGCCGCCCTTAAAGGTGAATCATCAAAATCGGTTTACAATTGCGGGAGTTATCGCGTAATTTACATACAAAAAAAACGTACAGTCGTATTGAGAACCTCCTCCTTTCTTGAAGTCGGTTAAAAATATATGCAAGCAGCTGCGGTGTTTATTTAGGTACGTAATGTATAAACGGACTGGGTGCATTTAATAAAATCAACAATACTTAAGTAAGTACCTATACAAGGTCTGAATCATCCTGTATACAAATCACCATTATTAGGGTCATGATCTAAATCATCGTGCCATCGAATTGTCGTGTTAATTAAACAATTTACTATTTGTCAGTCTTGATACCGACTGCTTACAAAACGGACTCCAGTGAATACTCAGGGCAGTCACTTTAATACTGTGTGTATTTAAGTGGAAATTAGGAATTATTTTGACTACGCGCGTGCTGCTGCGTATTGTAGCTTCTCCAAAAACACCTTTCGAATTATGATATGATCACTTTTTATTATTTGACTGCTGATACCTATTGTTTAGACAGCCTAAGATCATTTAAGAAAAGTGACCGCTTATAATACTTGGCCGTGGCAACTTTTCATCTATAATTAAATACTTAGTCATCAATTTTCTAATAAAACTATGAACTCTTGATAAATGCAATGTTTCGCACACGATGTGTTTTCCTATAAATACGACATACTTGCGGTTTCTCAGTCGTATCCTAAGAAGGCGGTACATTGCGCACACGCACAGGAAATACAAGAAATTTGGGAAGAAAAAGAAAGTGAACAAGTTTAA